GTGTATGCTTGATATGATTTCAATTTGTGTTACTGTTAGCTACATATTACCTTGAATCAATTTTTCCAAACTTTCGTTGGGAACTCATGCCAGAAGAACTCAGCAGGGCCAAGCAAAATTCAGTTTCGAGGCTTCATGACATGGTTGAAGAGGTTAAGGGGGTTTAAGGAGAAAAACAATTTAGTTGAGACAGTAAGATAGAGCAATTTTAGGTGTTTGGGATATTTTGATGCAATGACATCTGATATGCGGCTAGGTATGGCACAAAGTTTTAGAACAAGCAGGTCTTCATTCACCTCTAATAATGGATATGAATCTCCTTCACTCAACCCTGCTAGTGTCTCGAATGGGGAAGAATATGACAGCGATGGTTCAATTTTGCTCCACCGTAAGTTTCTTTCATTCCTCTTGTATTATGTTGAGATTGTCAGCTCTTGGGCTTAAGCTAGCTTGTTAGATTCTATGCTGTCACAAGGTTTTGCATCTTGTATAGCGATTTGTAGGCCCTAAGATTAAAGATGATTTCCATTTAATGTATCTTGCAGTACACCATCAACCCTGTCAATGGCTGTTCCGCCAGAATTAGCTGGTGCTATACCCTTGATTGATAAATTCCAGGTGACAAGATACGCATATGCTTTTAATTGTAATATTCATAGAGAAAATTTCTTCTCTGTTCAATTTGGTTCCCATCTTTCTCTGGCCCATGATTGCATTGATTCCTGCAATTGTCTTTGTTTAACTGTTGCAACTGCTCCTTTACTTCCAAGCCCTCAAACTTCACCAATTCTTCATCTCTGCCTGTCGAACCACCTTTCCTTCATGATGCCATGTGTCCCTCAATACTTTAGACATGCTCACTTCTGCATCAGTCCACTAAGTCTATGACTTAACCTAGTAATTGCTCCATTACCTGGACCACTTACTACACTTGACTCATTCCTCTAATGCCATCTGCCCCATTGACTGGTAAAAGACTCTCACTTTGACTTTGCCACATGTCAGCATCCGGTTGATCCACTTGTCGATAGAAATTTGACAAAAATCGGTGTAAACAAAGTCACAAGTTTCTTAGGTGTAATCTTGTGAAATGATACAAGGACAAGGGAATGATTTATTCGAGCACATAAACTCACCCCTCACAAGGGTTTTGTGATATTTCACTGAGTATGTTGACCTTGAGCAAAGAACAACCAACCGAAGTGACATAGCAAATGATATGGTGGCATTGGTCTCAGGAAATGAAAAACTCAAGGTTCTGCCAAAGAGGATGGGGACATTTGGTGAGGAATTGAGACTGAGATTCAGCACAGGAAGTTTGGATAATGGATTGGAGTAGGTCAGAGAGGGTTTCAAGAGAGAAAAGGTTTGGTTGGGTGATCCAAGGGAGAAAATAGTTTTTGAAAATATTCCAAGTATGGGGCATCTTGCAGCCCTAGTCCCTTATTTTTGGCTTTTACTTAAATAGCATGGCCCATAGACAGATATTTATGGTGGTAGGAATTGATAGGGAAAGGAGTACATGCTATTTGTACTCAGTTCTATTTAAAAGCAGTGCTTTTCATTAGGATTTCTACTGTGACCGTATTTACATTGTTTTGTTGGGGTATACATTCCAGCTGTTATTCTATGAATAAATGGGAGGCAAAGGATCATCTTTTGTTGAATGGATGGCAAGAAAATCTCTGTATTTTTTGCTTTTTTGGTGTGATTTCGATGATGCTGTATCAAGGTTTGGCAGGGTTGTTTGAAGAGTTTCTGCTCTTGCCTCTTTCAAGTATCTGGAAGGAAGATTTGCGCTCTTGAATGCACTACAAAGCAGGAAATAATATATCCGATTTCATTGTGCTTCCATTTGCAGTGTTGATTTTTTGCCTAGTCCTATTCATGGTAAAACTCCCAGTCTCCCACCCACCACCCAATGAATAGAAAATTGCATGCCCAGCCCAATACAAAAGGGGAAAAGCAAAAATGCTATAATTTGGGGATCACCAATATACGAGTTATTGGCATTTCCATTTAAATGTTGTGATTGATGGTTTGGATTTTGGTTGATTTAATATCTGTCCATATTTTATCCTAGAAAATATCTTGCTAACTTTACCTTTTGTAGTGCTGGACAAAACAGTTGAAAAGAAAACTAACTCTAAGCGTTATGATTATTTGTTTATGCCATGGTGGTTATGTCCAAGAGTATGTTCTTTCTCTCTTACCTATGCAAGCAAATGGAAAATCCAATGTTTACCATTTAAAAAAATAAAATAAAATCTTTATGTAGTGACAGTTTATGCTTAACTTGGTTTCAACTTTGAATTGTTTTTGTATGCAATCTTTTCAAATTCATGACAATCTTGAACAGGTTTGAACACGGACTGAGTGCTTGTAGATCAATTTGCTTGAAATATCAAAAACTGGCAAAATTGGGAAAATTGCTCACACAAATTGGTCTGGTTAGGTAGGCTGGTCAGGCGCTGCCAGCAGCTTGTATTTCAAATGCTCTTTTCATTAGCTCTTTTAAGCACTGAGAGTACTATTATACAATAAACAAGTTTCCAAAGTTGTACAGTGATGTACATTTGTTTTTATGAAGGGTGTGGACATTTTATTAAGTTTAATTTGCACATTTGTTTTTATGAAGGGTGTGGATATTTTATTTCCTAACCTATTCTGATAAGCCATGGGCCGAATTCTTTCTTATATACCCTTAATATCAATTTAAGACTCTTTTTATTGCACAACAGGGAAGAAAAATGGTTAAGCTTTTTTAAAAAGCTTCACCTACTGGCTTATGATTGTTCTTGATGGTTTGGGACTAAGAGTGCCAAGACTTTTCAGTGGCGTAAAATCCATATAGCATCGTGTTTCTCCAAGTATTGTATTCCTGTTCTGTGAATAGGAATACCTCTTTTCTTTGTGTTTCAGAAGATAAATATAAAAAAAAAAAAGAAAGAAGAAGGCAGATGGCGTCTTCATCAAAAGTTTGGATCAGCACGAACACAGCTTGTTCTTGTCCAACAACATTTTAACAATAAATTTATGCAGGTGGAATCATTGACCAATCAAGAAGAAGTTGAAATACGTGCAAAAATTGAAGCCCTTGGTCTAGAAGTTACAAAAGTTCCTTCAAAATCTATCCAGAATCTTGATGAGGTAGCTTTAAAGTTTACATACCATCTTTCTTTTTGCCTTTTTCTTTTTCTTTTTTTGAATTTTTAAATTTTTCCTTCTTTTACCCCCATTGAGCTGTCCATGTGGGGATAAAACATCTCACACGTTTATTTCTTGTGGAATTTATTCTTTTCACTTTAGCTGGAGATAGCAAAAGAGTTAGATGAGTTACAAAGCTGGATGATGTGGATGAGATGACATCCTCAGCAATGGCTGCAGACCCACAAGTGAAATCTCTCTTGAGTAGCACCGCTGACGTATGGATGCCAGTTATCACTGCTACTTCCAATGAAAGGCGTAATTTTACATCATCTATTGGAGATGATAATCATGAAGAAAATGGGAAAAGTTCTAACTAGTTTTTGCAGGCTTAATTTGATTGATTATATTAGTTTGTCATCAACATCCTTGGTAGCATGGGTTTGAGTCAGGTTTAGAAACATCTCTAGAAATCTGATTGAGGTTGTGTACATCTTGTTGTCTTCAGATGCTTTAGTAGAAGCCTTGTGCATTGGGTCGTTGAGTTTGCTTCTCTAGTAAGTGTGTTTGGTATGTGCCAAAAACCCCAACCACAAATAGAAAAAAAGAAAATCTTGTGTAATTTGCCTTTCTATAATTTCGCTGTGTTTGTTGTGTGGTGGCAATGGGTGTCATGGTCATTCTTGATCATGTCACAAGCTACGCGTTGTGTTCCGATGTTACAAGTTGTGGATTGCAACTAGAGAAATTGTGCAGATGTTTTAGATTCTATGATGGAAGGAATGAAAATGAACCTTTTTAGCTGGTTACTAGAGCATTGGAGCCTAGGATTGCCTCGATACAATTGTGGTAAGTGTTCCATGAGGAAGAGCACATTTTAGAGACAAAGCATTGGTGGCTTTTCAGCCCACCGTTAGCTTCATCATCATGAATTATTAGTACTGCTAACTGGCTCATGAAGTGGTGTCTATTGACTATAAAACCACAGGTAATCTTCTTTCCAAAATCTCCCATGCCCCATCTCAAATAGACTTAATAGAGAGGTGACTTAGGGCAAGGACCACATAGAGAGGTGATTTAGAACAAGGACCACGATAGGATCCAGCCTTCCCAACAACCTACATTTACAGTCATTTTTCTATTTACTTATTTTCAAAAGAAATAACAAGATTTACAAAAAAATGGTAAAAGGGAAAGCTGCATCATGTATCAAGGAAATTTAAACCTAGACATCACGCCCACCAAGAGTGCGTAACTAACCCTTTCTCTCAAATGGCAAGAATTAAACCCCTCCTTAAAATCACCAAAATTTACATAACGCCCACTTTACATGGGTTGCATATTTCTCAATCTATTCTTTCTTACAAATCCTTACTTCACAATAATGATAATAGCAGTCAGAGAATTTTAATTCATTTTGCCAAAATAAATAAATAGAAGACAAGAATGCCAATTCCCAAATAATAAATAGGTCCAAAGTCTATAGACTGAAAATTCATGAAAAAGTATTCAGCAGCCTATGAATGCAAAAACCCATATCAACATCCCCAAAGAACAAGGATGTGGAGTTGTGGACCTGCCAACTAAATGAAACTTTGCTGATTGTGTTCCCAATATATATCTGTTTTGGTATGTACAATTAACTCCCATTACAATTTTTACTGAAACCTAAGGATCAGTAAAAAAAGGAAAAAAAAAAGAAAAAAAAAAAGAAAAAAAGAAAGAAAGTTTGTCATGATCAGAGTCCCATAACTAATAAAATACAGAGAAACAGACTCAAATATTAACTTAGGATAACAGATAGTATATGCACCTTGGTATACATTGGGACTGAAATTAACATACACTACACATTAACCACTAAATCATGTGATAATCTGATTGGGATCAAGTTCATTACATAACCATTCTCATCATCAAAAACCATAGACATCAATGCAGTCTTTGTTGGAAATATATCCCGGCATCTCTAAATCACTTCATTCATTGTTTCTCATCACCAGTTATATAGCTTGTCCAATGGAATATATTGGTCTAAGATAAATATTTGTTCAAGCTTTTTGTACATGATGGTCAAAATAGAAACTTATTCAGAAGGGGGGAAACGGACAATTAGACTAATCAGCCACGTTAGGATGGATCCAATGATCCAAAATATGAGAAAAAAGACTACTAAACCAGCCAAAATAGTGGGCAATGGAGGACCTTGACCGGCATCATTGGTTTTGATCCCACCTGATTTCTCTGTGAGAGGATCTTGATCTGATGGGTTCGCATTTGATGCAAAGACAGAAAATAAACTCTGCCTCACTTGCAATCTTACAGCATTCTTGAACCTGATTAAGAAATTACTAATGGGTTCAGGCTCTACACTGTAAAGTCAAACAAACTGAAACATAACATCACAAATACAGAATACAACAGGACGCATGGATACATCTATAAATAAGATGTGGATTTTTAAAGTCCCGAGTGAAATTCTAATCATTCAAATAAAAGCTATAGTAAGCAATGCAAGGTGTCATACAAAAGGCTAAAAACTTGAATATAGAACAATATTGTTAGGACTTAGTTTTGTTTGGAAATCCCGTTTAACAAACACTGCTACATTGTATTTGCATCTAGTTCTTTGTATTTGTAAGCTTGAGAGTGTATTTAGATGTGAATCCAACTCATTGTGCCTCAAACTCATTATTTATGACATGGGTAGGAGCTTTGAACGCTAGAGCTAGTGCGATCATCAAACAGTCTTTACACCCTTGCAGGATCACAGACCAACAGAATAAGAAGTTGCAAAAGGATGTAAACCACCTGAGCGGTCTGAGTAGCTTTGCAGTATCTCAGAGTCTCAAGTTATAATCTTGCAGAGTGTTATAAACCGCTTGAGCAGTGCTAAGTTCACTTGAGCAGCCTAAGGCGGCTAGTTCTGTTATATGCGCATGATTCAGTTAAGGTCTGGATCTAACTCTCGAATTCTCATCCTTGAATTGCGAAAAACAGAGACAAGAAGTTCTAGCAGGATCCAACCACTTACCTTGACAAATTGAGATTGATTTAGTGATCATAGCTCCATGGATTGAAGATCATCAAGGATTTCACATGAAATTCACCTTTCGAGATAAGCATTTTTTGGTGGATTTCAAGAATTTGAGCATGAGAGCTTTGAAGGAGTTTGAGCTCTAGCTCTTCATCATCAATTCAACAGTTGGAGCACAATTCATTGAAGAAGACAGTGATGGAAGATGCACAATGACTTTGAGTCAATTTGAGCGTGGATTCACTAGGTAATTAAGTGTGCTCAAAGTGTAATTCCTTGATCTTCTTAGTGGATTGTTTGTGGCCAGGGCCTATGGTTTATTTATTTATTTTTAATTTTTAAATTGGAGGTGCTCCAATTGAAAAAAAAATATATTAACCTATTTTACACAATGCATTAATAGAACTATAATAAGCATCTTGAAAAGATGTTCGCAGAGTTTAATTTCATGAAACATTACCAGTTTGTGATTGAACTATCATAAATCAAACATTGCAGATCATCTCATGAGTTTTGAAAAATAAAAAAAAATATTAACCTATTTTACGCAATGCATTAATGGGATTATAATCACCATCTGGACAATATGCTGGTACAGTTTAATTTCATGTAACATTACCAATTAGCAATATGCTAAATTCAACTCACTGAAAATCATCTCAAAAACATGCAAATTCATGAGAGAAACACCAACTCAAATAAATGATTTAAACAACATAAAACACAAAAAGGTCAAATTATACCCGTTGTGATTTGTCTCTTTTGTCAATTTGGTACTTGTAGTTCCCATTGTATCAATTGTACCCTTTCGATTTTCACATTGTGTCAATTTAGTCCAATTGATAACATCTATTCTATTATATAAAAAAGCTTGATATGGTGTTTATGTCATGGGTTTTCTCTATTCCCAAATTACCCCTTATAACTACCTATGCATACTCTATATACACACAAGAGCAGTTATGAATAGATATACAGAGAGACTCACAAAAATATGATATACAAAGTGAGATTCACAATTGCCTCACAACACACCCATGATTTTTCAATTGCACACATACTGTGCTTACGCTTATAGTCTATTATTAATAAATTGAACAATAATCAAGGGTGAAATAGCTCATTCAAAAGAAAATAGACCATTCAAATTGGATGATTCTATTTACATCACACTTTTTACTCATCATACTCTTCATTTTTATTTATTTTTCTTACATTTCTATCCTTAAATAAAATTACTTTTTAAACCATCAAACCTTAAAATTTTGAAACCCTAATTTCTCAACCCATCTTCTGTCAGATCCCTAATTTTTTCCCCACCTTCCATAATTGTTGCCCGAACCAACCCCCTCCCAACTCGCTGCTAGCACCCACCCCATTGCCTTCCAACTTGCAATCAGTGCCCACCCTCTCCCCTTCCTGTCGCCCCTACCACCTCCACCCTTTACAACCCATCGTCCCCTTCCTTGTTGCCCTTCCTGCCATGCCTCTCCATGCCTCTGCACCCCCGCCGCCCCTGTTTGAAACACCCCCCTCTTCCCTTCCTCCGGCCACCTCCTATCCCCAGATTTGCAACCCCGTCCCAACATACCACCTAACCCCTTCTCCGCCACCCAGGCACACCATCCAGCCTCTTCCTATAGATCAACTTACTAGATTTGAAGCCTTCTCTTTCTCTCTGAGTAGAGGGTTGTAGAGCTGGCAGTCATGGGGAGTTGTGGTAGAGGGAGATTATCGATGAAGGAGAGTGAGATAGGGAGGGGAGTCGTAGTGAGGGAGGAAGGGCAGAGGATGGGGTTGCAATGGGGAGGGTTGGTGGCAATGGAGGCTAGAGGTGGTGGTTAGGGGTGGGATAGTGTTAGGGTTTGAAAAGTGAGGGGTGTAAAGATGAGGGTAAATTTGATATTATGGTGGGTGTAAAGAGATGAGATCAAAATTTCAAAGTTTTATGTATGGTGAAAATAGAAATTGGGTAATGAAGTGAAAGTGTGGTGTAAATAAAATCACCCATTCAAATTACACACCAACCTCTCAAATGAACAATTTCTCCCTTGATTTTAGCCCAATTTCTTGTTGTCAATTAGACTAAAAATTGACAAACAGTAACAACAACAACACTCAATTACTACCCATTAATGTGTGTTTGGGAGGGGTTAGATTGGATACGTAAATGCACAAACTGCTGTCCCCATGCTTGAACCCATAACCTCAAGGTTACACAATGTAGGAAATTTAATGGTAAAATTGATACAATTTTAACTACAATGAACAACAAATCGATGCTAGTGAGAAACTACAGGACTATGATAGCAATTTACCCACACACAAAAAAAGGAATTCTAAGCTATTATACATGGTGGAGACTTCAAAAGCTGAAACCCAGTACCTTAACAAAGAAGCAAAACTGAAATCAATTGATTGGATGTAATTTGTGGATAAGTTGGAAGTAAAGTACCTGAAATTGGAAGGGGTAAGAGGGACATTGGCAGCAAGTGTAAGGGGTGTGGTGGAGGTTCTGATGGTGGGACGGCGGAACCCTAGAATCGATTGGGACGGAAGTGTAGAAGCAGAGCAATGGAGGGAGGCCATTGTGTATTCCCGAGATAGTTTTGGGAGTGAGAAATGCTCTCTATCAAGATTCAAGTCCGATCACAAAATGACAATCTGATGCAAATTTGCTATTTTTAATGGTTGGCTATTACGCAAGTGCATGGGGCATGGATTGGCTTGGCTTGGCTTGACTTGAGCAGGGATATTTTATTAGGTAAAATTATCAATTATTTGATTGGTTTGAGTTTTTTTTCACAATAATACTTTTCAGAAAATTTTATATTTTTATTTTTCGTATTTTTTTATTTTTATTGAATTGTTTTTAATATTTTAAGTAATTTTTTTTTTAATTCTTAGATACACCTAATATAAATACATTTCAAAAGTATAATTTTTGTGAAATTTTTCTTTAAAAAATTCACTAAATACCAAAAATATAAAAAAAATAATAAAAATTCAGTACATTTTTTTATATTTTTGTAAATTTATTAATTTTTTAAAATATTTTTTTATAAATATTTTATTTTTTAGATACATCTAAGTAAGATGTATCTAAAAAAGTAAAAAAAAATGCTTAAAATTTTAAAAATATTCACTAAAAACAAAAAAATAAGAAAAATGAAAAATGAAAAATTAAGTTTTGAAAAAACTTAAATTAAAAAAACTCAAACCAAATACATTGAATAGTTCCTACTTTTGAGATTTATTATTTATTAAATGCTATTGATAAATGATAAATTTATCAATTTTTTTTTATTTTTATGAATAAATTTATAATGATAAATTTATTAGTCAAGACTTATAATTAAATAAGTCTAGCCAATATGATTGATTGATAAGTGTCCCATAAATAAAAGGGAGAGTAGCTTAACAATGAGGACAAAAATAAAAATTACAAAAATATTACAGGTACAAGTGATTATGTGATGGGGTATAAGTGAAAAATTATATGGGTGCAAGTATGGGTGTAAATTTGGCCTGATCCAATTCGACCCCAGGCCCAAGCTTGGGCTGGCCCATGTCTGGCCGTGCGAGCTCCCGTTAAAATTCGGGATGGGCCGGTTCATCTACGGGCCAGAAAATTAGGCCCAGAGGATATTTGGGCCTTGGGTGAGTCGACAGGCCTGGGTGGGTCTAAACATTTTTTAAAATTTTTTTTTATTTTTTCTACCAAAATTTTATTCTTTTCTACTAAAAATGAAATTGGGCCGAGCAGACCTGGGCCTCAGGTAGGGATTTGAGTGGGCCTTGAGCGGACCAATAGGCCGAGCCAGGCCTACCCCGAGCTACGGGTAAGCTGTCACGACCCGCTCCCCATACCCAAGGGTTAAATATCATGATGGCCAGTAACTGAGGTTACTTACGGCCAATTCTTAAACAAATTAATAAACACAAGCGGAAGAAATATTTAATTAAGGGTACGAAAATAATCATTGGAGCTTCTATTTTTATTACAAAATTTATTGACAAAAAAGGTCGATATTTACATATAAAAATATATCAAAAAGTACTGTGTGGGTGTCTACTCTGCAGGCCCGCATCTAAGACTTTCCAAAGACTATTTCTGAAGTGCATTGATTCCTGAAAATTGGTAAACAATTATAAGCACATGGCAGAGTGAGAAATATTATACCAAGAGTATAAGGGACACGAAATAACCATGGACAATTAATTAGGCCAAAACATTTAAGATAACTTAGTCGGAACAAATAGTCCTTTAAGTATCAAAACTGATATTATGTGAATAAATCATTTATGTAGCAGAACTGAAATACAGAAATTATATAAATATATTACCGTAACCATGGTACAGAACAGAACAGAGGTCATAGAAGTGACAGTCAGAACAGTGGTACAGATTCAAGAGGTGGCTCGTACGGATTCTAGAGGTGGCTCCCACAATAGTGTAGCACTTAGTTCCGCACAGCCCTTTGGTCCGCACAGAATAGAGGTCAATGGATCCATGACAGACAGAGGGCCACAAAGTAACCAAACAGAGGCCAGTGGTTATTTAAGTCTTCCAAGACATGGGACTCCCATGATGGTACTTGCAAAACATAATTTTATATAAGGTCATAACCAAATATTCTTTAAAATATAAAAAGATATATCCATGGGTTTCCTTTTAAGGAAATAGGGTTCAGAAGATAAACCACGTAACTGAAACTTTTATAAAACATAACTTTTATTAATGGATCCATGACAAACAGAGGACCACAAAGTGGTCAAACAGAAACCAATGGTTATTTAAGTCCCCCAAGGCGTGAGATGGTTATTTAAGTCCCTCAAGGCGTGAGACTCTCGTGTGGTACTTACAAAACATAATTATTTATAAAGTCATAGTCAAATATTCTTTAAAAGTAAAACAAACATATCCATGGGTTTCACTTTAGCAAATAGGGTTCAGAAAATAATCCACGTAACTGAAATTTTTATAAAACATAACTTTTATTAATATACTAATAAAACATAACTTGTATAAAATAGATTTTGATAAGTCAAAATATAAGTAAAATATATTTTGATGACTCAAAATATAATATAACTCACCTTAACTTTAATACCTTACTCTTTCTTTCTACTATAACGAACTCTTTTAGCTTCCCAATATTTTTTTTTTCTTCTTTCTTTCTTTCTTTTCTTTCTCTTTTCTTTTTCTTTCTTTCCTTTCTTTTCTTTTCTATCTCCAAATTGATCATTCTCCTATTTATAGGGAGGTGACGCCACTCCTAGGCCAACAGGTGGCCGGGCACCTCTCTCCCTCCAGATTTGTCATAACTATATATAGATTCAATCTTATCCCAAATAAATAGTTAGGATAATTACCTTTTGACCTAATATTTTAATATAATTATATAAATAATTTAATTCTTAAATAAATTACATTTTATCGTATACCGACATAAAATTAATTATTTATTTTAATATCACACTCATTATTATTATTATTTATATTATCTATATTATTATTATTTATATTTTGACCCCTAAACTTTTAATAATTATATTATTTTACAAAAATTACACATAATAATATATAATAAATTATATATTTTTCGAACTGAGATTAAATAATAGTAATATAAATTCTACAGAATAATTAAAAATCTGGGTTGTTACAATCTTCCCCCCTTTTAAAATTTCGTCCTCGAAATTTGTCATAAGTGTAAGTTATCCGCTGCGCACTCTGATAAATATATATTAGATGATTAATCTGATAGAAAATAGTATCTCAAAAATTTTTTTACCAAAAATAACTCCCGGTCTAGTTGTCAAAAATTGGTTTGGGCCAAAATGAGAAATAAGGAGCGACTTTAAAAACTTTTCACTCGTTTTGTTTACGATAAAAATAAATAAAAAATAAAATAAAATGAGAATACAATGACAGAATCATATACAGGAGATGAACTTTTCATTGATGAAAAATAGTTTCAAAATTAGTATCTTTATTATTTGAATCCACCTTTAAAAGTCGAAATAATTTTTTTTTTGGAATACTGAACTGAAAATTATATGTATTTAATTATATTATAATTTTTGGTGGGTGCTTGAGCCCGACATCCTTCTTTTCTTGTCCTTCTTTTATTATATAAATTATAGCGAATATCCTTCACAAATTAAATACACTAAAAAAAAATTTGATTGAGTATCGCCTGTCCTGAGGCTTCTACTCTCTCCTTGCGAGGGTGTGGCATTCCTACCACGACTTTCTGAGTGGCGAGAGGGCGTCTTGTTTTTGCGCCCCTCTCCTGTCGCCAATTCTTTTTTCTTCATCTGGCGCTTCAAGGCCTCCATGTCCACCGCCATCTTTCTTATCAATTCATCTTGCTTCTTGACGCGGTCTTCCAGCGCTTGAGGATCAATCCTCCTCCTTTGCCTGTCAGGACTTTGTGAACGAGAGTGACGGGGGCTGTTAGTCCGCCTCCCCCTAGCATCTCTCCTGGAGTTATGTCGTTGGGGCTCTAAGTCTGCCATGGGAGGGACAGAAGGTAATCCTTCACGCCTTGCGCCCCCATCTGGAGTTAGCCCGTCAACGGCGGACTGCGGCAATTCTTCAATGTGTGCCATTGTTTCCAAAGAGGAGAAGCTTAATCAAGAGGTTTTGTCCTGTCTGTTCTTCCCACAGACGGCGCCAATTGTACGGGAAAGAAATACACCTTCTCGTATAATCCTGTTGACTAAGTCTGCGCTCCTCCGTACAACGTCGCTTTATCACCTGAAAACACAAACGTGAGCTAGCCGGCGGGTGTGTACCGGAAACCCCTCCGATGCCTAAGTCAGCAAACTTGACAAATAGACAAAGCTCTGAGTATTCAGAAAGCAAAGTTGTGTGTTACCTCCTCCAAGGTGATGTTTGTGAGCTTTTATAGGTTTCGTGTGGCGCAATCCTAGTAGGACTTCTATTCCTCCATGCAGAGTCCTTCTAGGATTCATACTCCTGAAGAATAATGCTTATCCTCCAACACCCCCCTCACTGCTTAAACCAAGTGAGATGGTTTTTACCATGGCCGAACTACCATATGACCGAAATAAAACTGGTTATGCTGAGCCACAGAGTAGGCCGAACTATTCTTAGTTTGGTTCCACCTTTTACTCCATCCTTATCTCGGTTCTCTCATGTACAAATCATGGTGTGTTTAGACCAAGCTTCCGAGTAGCAAGGTTCTGACCGATCTATCCAGAATACGTCATGACCGGACTAATTCTGAGACCGGCCTAACTCCACGTTGCTTCCGAACCGGAGTAACTATACAATTCTTGAGTCGAAGTAACTTTATCTCTCTTGGGCCGGAGTAACTATATCTCTCTTGGGCCGGAGTAACATTACGGCCTTTTTATCCAGTCCTTCGTACTTTGGGCCACAAAGTCCATCTCACAGCTCGGCCAATATTTTCACCAAAAATTACCCTCTCACAGCTGGTAAGTAATTCCCCTTAAATAAAATACGAAAATTGACCAATAAGTCTCATATTTTGAACTTATAATCTATATAATCTTATATTTTTTCTTAGAGTGGTTCCACTTAGGGTGAAGCACCAATAAATCCCAAAATATGATCTTGTGAAGTATTTAATCCTCCCTTTTTTCTTATGAACCCAAAGGTCCTATTAAAGTGGAAATTACATAAAAAGGTAGTTACTTACATGTTTAGGTTTAATTTTTTAGAAATAAA